ATGTGGCCATTTTTTTTTTTTTTTGGTCTTTTTGAGACAGCTTCTCCCTGTAGCCCCAGCTGTCCTGGAACTCATTATGTAGACCACGCTGGCTTTGAACTCACAGAGATCCACTTGCCTCTGCCTCCCTAGTGCTGGGATTAAAGATGTGTGCCACCATGCCTGGCTTTAGTTTTTATTTCTATTTTTTGGTTTTTGTTTTAGTTTCTTTGTTGTGTTTTGTTTTGTTTTGAGACAGAGTCTCACTATGTAGTGTTAGCCTAGAACTTGCTATGTTGACCAGACTGGCCTTGAACTCATAGAGATCTACCTGCCTCTGCCTCCCAAATACTGGGATTAAAGTTGTGGGCCTGGCTTCCCTGGCCCACTCTAAAAGAAAACTGTTGGGGCCAAGCTACTAACTCAGTTGGTAAAATGCTGCCCTCCCAAGCATGAGGTTCTATCCCCAGAACCCACATAAAAAAGTTGGGTATGGTGGTACTTTCTTGTAATCCCAGTGATAGAGAGGCAGAAATAGGCAGATCTCTGGCCATCCAGCCTAGCCTAATCAGTATATTCCAGGCCTATGAAAGCTCCTGTCTCAAAAAACAAAGGTGGGAGCTGGAGTGATAGCAGTTAAGAGCACTGGCTGCTCTTACAGAGGACATGGGTTCAGTTCCCAGCACCCACATGGTGGCTAACAGCTCCAGTTCTAGGGCATCTGATGCCCTCTTCTGGGCTCTGCAGGCATTGCACACGTGGTGCACTGACATGCAGGCAAATGTCTCATGCATGAAAGAGAAAGGAAGGGAGGGAGGGTTGGAGGGAAGGAAGAAAGAAAAGGAAGGAAGGGAGGGAGGGAGGGAGGGAGGGAGGGACGGACGGAGGGAGGGAGGAAAAAAACAAGGTGAACAGCACCTGAGGAATGACACCATAGGTTGACACGTTGACATCTGGCCTACACACACACACACACACACACACATACACACACACACACACACACACACACACACACACACACACACACTACCAGGAACCAAGGCCTAGAGGAATGAAGGCCAGAGCCTGGCCTGGACCCAGTTGCTGGCTCCCTGTACTGTCTCCTCTGCTGCCTGCTGACGAGGGGCTAGAAAAGCTGCTGCCCTCACCTAGCCACCACTACTGACCTCAGGGTTGTTGGCAACATTCTGGCTGTTGCCGTACCCAAGCAGGGCTCCCATCCAGAGGAGTAGCACAAGGACCTGCATCCCGGGGCTGCAAGAAAAATAAGAGTAAGCCATTCCCCTCACCCACCACCCTGCCATGCCACTCCACTCTGCACAGGGGCAAGAGAAAGACTGGGTGAGCACCCTCTCTGCAACCTACTCAGCCTGGAAGTGGACTTGGCTTGAGGCTTGTCCTCTCCACCCTGTAGCTGCTTTTCCACTGTGAGTTGTGCTTCCATCAGTAGTTCCTGTCAGGAGACCTACCTTCTAACCCCTAAAACTCCAGAACAGTGAAGACCCAGCAGCATGGTCCTCTGCCCCTAAGAAGTATGGTCTAGAACAAATGCACCCTAAGGCTTCGCCAAAGGCACCCAGCCCACTCACTTGATAGGATTTGGAACCCTGTCTTAGGAACAGAACCTGGGTCTTTGTATAATTGCAAAGCACATGAATAGGATTCATCCAACTCTGCTATCCCCCCCAAATTCTCTGGCCTGTGACGAGCCTCCTCCCTCTCCCTCCTGAGGGCTAAAGGTAGGGAATACCATGCCTGGCCTGATTCCCTTCTTATTTCCTCATCAAGAGCAATCCTCCTCTTGGTTAGGAGGCTGGGGCCTAGGCTCATGCAGCCTGGGTTCAAATATTGATTCTGGGTCTTCATTGCTCTCTGAATAATAAGTTTCCTCCTTGTAAAGCAGTGCTTACTGTTTTAAGGATTAAAATTTAAAATATGGCTTTTGTTTTTCCTTTTTTTTTAAGTCTTGATATAGTTGGGCTGGCCTTGAACTTGTGCTTCTCCTGCCTCTGCCCTCCAAGAGTAGGGATTTCAGGTGTGCACAAACACATCTACCTAGATAATATCTTAACAACACTTAGTGCCAGAGATCAGTAAGCTCTCAAATGTCCTTCAACTAGCATCGTAGGGCTCCACCTCTCCCCTGTAGAGCCACATCCTCTTCCTCTCCCAGCATGGAAATATCTCCTAAACCCCAGAGCCTTCTTTCCTTCTGTCCAAACAACCCTGCTTTTCAGTGGGACCTCCAACATCCTATTACCTCCCTAAGCAGTGACCTTTCTGACCAGACTCTGGTCTGGTACCTGGACCACAGGGCAAAACTGACATCTGGGTCCTGAGCTGTGGATCCTCCTGCATTCTCATCGCTGTGCCTCCTGAGTCAGGTCTAGGGTTGAGTGGATAAAGGCAGCCGGGATAAGATGTTTCCTAGAAGGCCTCTAGTTCCAAAGTCAGAAATTGCTGTATCCAGGACCTTTGGCTGTTCTGTGTGCACCCTCCATCCATCCTTCAGTACACATACCCAGAAGTGCCGCCTTGGCTCCATCATCCTTTTATATATACTAACCCTTCCCCACCAGACACACCACTAACTTTTCTGACTTCCCAGAACAAATTAGATCTGAAAATTAAGAGTGCAGTATGCAGTTGTTGGCCAAAGTCCTTAAAATTAAGCCTGACAGTCCACTAGAGAACACTAATGCAGGGAGAGCAGCAAGAGTAAAGATCTCTGGGTTTACTCAGCTTACGGCAGGACCACCAGCAGGAACAAGACTGGCTTTCTCTAAACCCTCAACGCTCCCAGTGAGAATTCTAGGGATCCCTATGCTCTCGGCCAGGGGCTCTTCCACATAACTGACCAACTTCTTGGAGAAAACATCCATTGAGACAACAGAGAAAGTAAACTAGAACCAGGTTTATAGCTCTCCCATACCAGCCCTACCCTTAGCTATCAGAAGTCTCCCTCACCAGAGCCTCAGGATGCTGGTTTATTGGAAACTGAAAATACAGTAAGATGTACAGGGGACAAGCTAGAGAAAAGGCTGTCCCTCTAGTCCCTCTGGAGGGGTTGAAAGAAGGGAGGAGATGGTCACCCTGGCATCCTAGTCAAGGAAATGTCAGGTGCATTTGCAGGTGGGACATTCTTGAGTTCCTTTAGAATCATGATCATTGTTACCATATGGGTAGGCTGGGGACTGAAGATGAGGCTAAGGAACCTGAAAGGCAGAGGAAGGCACAGGGTCCAACAATGGCCCAGAGTTACATGCAGGGATGGGTGGTGGTAATGGAATGCCTAAATTCTCCACCTGAAGCCACAGGAATAAAGGAACTGGGAATATTAAAGCCCCCTACAAGGGCAGTAAGAGGGCAAAGAGCAAGGGTCTACAGTGGGGGCCCCACAGGACACAATGCAATGCCTTGTGCAAGATGATTGTGTGGACTGAGGAGGCAGCCATTGGCTGGCCAGGGGTGTAGGGACAATGATACCATCCTGTCCAAAGGGCAGTGTCCGAGTCAGATTCCTGGGCTGCCAGCTGGGGGAGGCCTCCGGGAGGAGGTCCAGATCCTCCCCTCTGGGCCAAGGTCAGCCTTCCTGCCACAAATCAAGAGGCACAGGAACTGGGATGTTGTGCTCTTGCATCTAAGCTGAGAAGACAAATGGGAGCCAACACATGTGTTTCAGATTAAACCCAGCTGTGAGACAAACACTGTTGCTCCTCCTACTCCCAGAACCCAGCATGGCGGTAGACATGTGGACAGTGCAGGGGAGGACACCTCCTTCTCCCCTAAGGACAGTTTCCAGGGGTCCAGTCTGGCCCACTCTTGGCAACACCATCAATCCCTAGGCAATGTTTTTTTGTTTGTTTGCTTGCTTATTATTTATTCAAATCTGAAATAGACTAAAGCACCCCATCATTGTACTCCCCAACACCCCAGAAAGACCAGCCTTGGGACTAGAGCTTCCTGGTCCCTACCCATCCCCCTTAGGCTGGGGGCTGACCTGATGGGCAGCTAAGGGCTAGACAGTGGCTGGCATTTGGGAAGCCTGCCTCTTTGACTCAGACTTCTCCCTGTTGTGGTTTGCCTTGGGGAGTAGAAAGGATGCAGAAGGGCAGCCAAACCCCCAAACCCTACACACTGCTGGGCTAAACAGTGCTCATTGTTTGCAAGGGGCCATGACATCATTTGTCTCCCAGCTCATTTGGCAAAAGAGAATGGGTGGGGACTGAACAGAGGACCTAGCTGGTACCCCATCTCAGCCCTCAGGCAGGACTCGGGCCAGCTGCTCAATGCTGTGGGAGAAGTACCTTTGAAATAAGCACCAGTTAGTTCTGAAAAGCAGCAATCTGTGTGGAGTCAGGCTGGGCTGCAAGACCACCTTCCTCACCCACCCCTGGCAAAAGCAGCTCCCAGGAGTGTCCCATCCCTAATTAGGGATGCAGTCCCTTTGGAGTGCTACTCAGACCAGCTCTCAGGTTCTCACTACACATTGTTTCCCACTCCATTCAAAAATCCTTCCAGCCTCTTTTTGTTACAGTAGATTTGGGACAGAGAGGTGGGGAATCGAGTCTTGGCCCTCTGTCCCCAATTCCTTCGTCCCCCTCATCTGCTCGCCCTGGTACCTAAACTACTATAATTCCTACCTCCATCTTCTTGCACCCCTCTTTTCTGCTTTCTGGGGTACCCCTGCCACTCCCAGCCCCCCAGCCAGGGGCCCTCTCCCATCTTCCCCAAGCCAGACCTGGGACTGCTTTACCTGTGACTTGCTGCAGCTCCACTCTCAGCCTGGGTCCCTCTCAGCCTGTACTCTGAGGGGCTCCAGCAAGCAGTGGAGCTGTTTAGTTGCCTCCCAACCCAGCGTCCAGCAGGCTTCAGATTACAGCTACTCCTTTCTTAAAGCGACCTGCACTCAATTTGGAGTCTGTGATTGCATCATTGTCTGCTGTTAACTTTAACCCACCACCGCCCTTCCACCACATATCCCCAAGACCACACATTTCCATCACCCTCCTCTTCCTCCTTGTCTTCCTTGGGCCTTTATCTCTCCTCACTGGGACTCTCCACTTGATGGCCAACTTAAAGGACACCTGGAGCAGCCAGGGATGGGTGATGAGTTAGCCTAAATGTCTTAAAGATTGGCCAGGAGGCAAAGGAGTAGAGAAGACAATGGCCTCAAATGGCCCAGTCGTTGGTTCTAGCTCTGTCTGGGACTGGAGGCAAGATAACTAACTCGTATGGTTCCCTCCCTCTCCTTGGCTGGAAAATAAAGGAATAGAGCTGGGACTCCACTCTGGAATTCTATGGTTTCTGAAGATCAGAAAGGACAGTGGGGAAAATGTCTGACCAAAGAAATAAGGTCTATCAAACCTGGAAGGAGGTCTGCCCTGGATGTTACTGCAAAGGGCAACTCTTGCATCCAGCTTGTCCTGGGATATTTGGGAACTCAATGCAGTTGTGAAACTAAAACACTGACATCCTAAGAGTTAATTAGAGACTACAGGTGAACTCTCCCTTATCCAAAATGCTTATGACCCAAAGTGTTTTGAATTTTGGATTTTAAAAAAGACCCTGTCTCAGCCGGGCATGGTGGCGCATGCCTGTAGTCCCAGCACTTGGGAGGCAGAGGCAGGCGGATCTCTGTGAGTTCAAGGCCAGCCTGGTCTACATAGTGAGTTCCAGGACAGCTGGGGCTACAGGGAGACCCTGCTTCAAACAAACAAACTAACAAACAAACCAGCTGCAATGAGAAAAAAAAAAAAAGAAAAAAAAAAAAAAAAAAAAAAAAAAAAAAAAAAAAGACCCTGTCTCAAAAAGACCAAAAAAAGAAATTTTCTTGCACTTGGGAGACAGAGGCAGGTAGGTCTCTGTGAGATCAAGTCGAGAGCCTGGTCTACATAGTGAGTTCCAAGCAGGCTGGGACTTCAGGGAGACCCTGTGAAAACACACGCACACACCCTACATACACACACACACACACACACACACACACACACACACAAATATAATAATTCAAGCAAGAAAAAAATAATCTTTCTGTTAATTTTGTGTATGGAACAGTTATGTACCTTGAACTGTCAGACTTGTAGCATTATACCAACTCCCAGAAACTTTCACATTTCAGCTACTCTGATTAAAGATATCCCTTTCTAAGCTTTATTTATTTATTTATTTATTTATTTATTTATTTATTGTCTTTTGGAGCTGTCTGATGGGGGAGGCCTCCGTAGGATGTTTCCTCTTCCTGCTGCTTATAGTTTTCCCCTTTCTATCGTAACCCTTTTTTGTTTCTTTTTTTTAAAATATTTTATTATTTTTATGTGTATGAGTGTATTGCCTGCACGTGTGTAAGTGCACCCATGTCGTGCAATGCCAGTGGAGGACAGAAGAGGCTGTCAGATCGCCTGGAACTGGAGCTACAGACAGTTGTTAGCTGCCATGTGGGTGCTGGGATTCAAACCCGGTCTTCTGCAAGAACAGTCAGTGTTCTTAACTGCTGAGCCATCTCTCCAGCCCCTTGTTTATTATTTTTATTTTATGTGTATAAGTGTATTGCCTTGCATGCACATAAGTGCACCTGTGTCATGCAGTACCCATGGAGGTCAGAAGAGGGCATCAGATCCCCTGGAACTGGAGTTCAGGATGGTTGTTAGCCACCATGTGGGTGCTAGGAATCAAATCCGGGTCCTCTGCAATAGCAGCCAGCTCTCAACCTCAGAGCCATCTCTCCAGCCCCTCTTTCTAAACTTTATAACCAAGGGTTTTCTACAAAGGTATGGGGCTGGCTAGGAAAGCCCAATAGCTATTCAGAAAAGATCAGAGAAAGAAAGGGAAGTATTCAAAAGAGAGAAAATTTAGGTGACCCTACAAGTATTCTCATGGGGGGCTCCAGAGAGAAGACCTTGGGCCCTAGTGGAACTTTCCAGTGGGCAAGGTTCAACTTTATAGGAAGGAGAGTGTGAGAGTTACTGACATATGTATGAGTATATTGCCTGCATGTATGTAAGTGCACCTGTGTCATGCAGTGCCTGAGGAGGTCAGAAGAGGATGTCAGATCCCCTGGAACTGGCATTACAGATGGTTGTTAGCCACTATGTGGGTGCCTGGAATCAAACCCCAGTCCTCTTCAAGAGCAGCCAGTACTCTTAACTGCTGAACCATCTCTCCAGCCCCTATTTGCTTATTTTTGAATAGGTATTTAATCCACATGATTCAAAGTCAAAAGCAGGATCTGGGGAAATGGCTTAGTGGGTAAAGACACCGGCAACCTGAGTTCAATCCACAGAACCCACATAAAAAACACAAGAAGAGATCCAACTCTACAGTTATCCACTGACCTCCACGCTCATGATGTGGCACATGTACCCCAAATCCATCATGCACACACCCAACAACAATAACCATAAATAAAAAGTAAGGTGGAAAGTGATTGAGAAAGACACCCAATGTTGACCTTTAGCCTGTACACATGCATATATGTATACCACACACACACACACACACACACACACACACACACACAGTCAAAACAGCAAAAAATATCCAATGAAAGTCTTTCTCTCACCAGGCATGGTGGCACACGCCTTTAATCCCAGCACTCGGGAGGCAGAGGCAGGCAGATCTCTCTGAGTTCAAGGCCAGCCTGGTCTACATAGTGAGTTCTAGGCCAGCTGGGGCTACAGGGAGACCCTGTCTCAAAAAGACCAAAAAAAAAAAAAAAAGTCTTTTTCTCATTTGATCTCTTACCATTCAATTCTACATTCTGGGGACCACTGGTGTTTATCTGTATTTTTCTGCATATTCTTTTTAGAGATATTATGCTTTTAAAAGCAAGTGCAGGGCCAGGCATGGTGGCACACACCTTTAATCCCGGCTGATCTATGCGAGTTCAAGGCCAGCCTGGTCTACATAGCCAGTTCCAGGTCAGCTGGAGCTATAGGGAGAACCTTGTCTCAAAAAGACCAGAAAAAAAAAAGCAAGTACAGAATGGCTGGAGAGATGGCTCAGCAGTTAAGAGCACTGGCTACTCTTGCAGATAACCCAGGTTCAGTTCCCAGCACCCACATGGAGGCTAACAACTGTCCATGATTCCAGCTCCAGGGGATCCAACACCCTCTTCTGGCATTCACATGCACATGGTGCACTTACATGCATTCAGGCAAAACACTTATACACATAAAATAAAAATTATATATATATATATATATATTTTTTTTATAGCCGGGCATGGTGGTGCACACCTTTAATCCCAGCATTTAGGAGGCAGAGGCAAGACTGTACCCCCCCCGCATGTCTAGCTCATGCTGCACAATGGGGGGGGTATGCACTTTAAAAAAAAAAAAAAAAAAAAAAAAGGAAATATAGAGGGGGTGGGCGTGGTGGCGCATGCCTTTAATCCTGGCAGAGGCAGGCAGATCTCTGTGAGTTGGAGACCAGCCTGGTGTGTATATTGAGTTCCAGGCCAGCTGGGGCTACAGAGAATCCTGTCTCAAAAAGATAATAATAATAATAATAATAATAATAATAGTAGTAGTAGCAAATAAGCCAGATGTGGTGCATGCAAGTAGCACTTGGGAGACAAAGGCAGGCAGAGTTTTGTGAGTTCATGGCCAACCTTGTTGACATAGTGAATTCTAGGCCAGCCAGGACTATAAAGTGAGACTCTGTCTCAAAAAATAACAAAAAAGAAAAGAAAAAAAATTTAATTAGAACTGGCAGAGAGCTCACTGCTGGTTAAGAGCACTTTCTGCTCCTCCAGAGGACCTGGATTTGGGTCCTAGCATCACATTGTGGCTCACAACCACAATGTTGTTCCAAGAGATCCAACACCCTCTTCTGGCCTCATTGGGCACCAGGTGCACACATGGTACACATACATACATTCAGGCAAACACTCATACACAATCAAAAAGATGGCTCATTGAGTAAAGGAGCTTGTCACCAAGCCTGATAACCTCAGTTTGATCCCAAGAATCCACATGGAGAAGGAGAGAACAGAGTCCCTCAGTCTCCTATTCCAACACATGTGCCATGGCATGTATGCCCCCAAAATAAACAAATACATCTCCAATCTCAGCATTCAGGAGGCAGAGGCAGGAGGATTAAAAAGTTTAAGGCCTTAAAGAGTTTAAGGCCAACCTGATCTATATAATGAATACCAGGGCTATACAGTGAGGAACTATCTCAAAAATAAATAAATTAATTAATTTTTAAAAAGCCAGGTGTGGTGGCACATGCCTTCAATCTCAGCACTGGGAAGGTTGAAGCATATGGATCTCTGTGAAATCAAGGCCGGGCTGGTCTACATAGTAAGTTCCAGGCCAGCTGGGACTACATAGTGAGACCTTGTCTCTAAAATAAAAATAAATAGTGCCAAAACCAACATAAATTAGCCAGGCATGCTGGCGCACGCCTTTAATCCCAACACTTGGGAGGCAGAAGCAGGCAAATCTTTGTGAGTTCAAAGCCAGCCTGGTCTACATAGTGAGTTCCAGGACAGCTGGGGCTACAGGACCCTGTCTCAAAAAGGCAAAAAAAAAAAAAAAAGCATGAATTGTAAGAGAAAAGATTGATAAATGTGGCAATAAAGTTAAAAATTTGTTTTCACACAAAGATTCTATAAAATAAAGGACAAACCACACCAAAAGAAAATATCTGTAACACCGAAAACTGGCGGAATATTGTAATATGAAAAATATTATAAACCAGTGAGAAGACAAAAAGCAATTCAAGAGGAAGATAAGCCCAAGTAATTCATAGAAGAACCCCAAGTGGCCAATAAATTTACAAAAAGATGTTTTATGGAGCTGGGAGTGTAGCTCAGTGGTAGAGCACTTCCATAGTATATGAAAGGCCCTGGGTTTGATCTGGCAGAAGTGCACCCCTCGACTGAAGGGTGAAGAAATGTCATTTCAAATCGACTAAACTGATTCCCAGATTCGCCTTTCAGTGTCTGGTATGAGAAATAACTCAAGACTTCAAAACAAGCTCAGGCTTCCAGAGCACAGCTGTTGGCACTTGCTGCCAAGCCAGATGACATGAGTTCAGGCTGGTGGATGGAAAGAACCAACTCCCACAAAATGTCCGCTGACCTCCACTTGTGTACTGAGGCATGTGCACCTACATGCTCACACATGCCCATGCATACACACACATACACACACAACTAAATAAATAAATAATAAATAAATAAATAAAGCAAACAAATAAATATAAATAAAAATTGGGGGCTGGAGAGATGGCTCAGCGGTTAAGAACACTGGTTGTTCTTGCAGAAGACCTGGGTTCGAATCCCAACATCCACGTGACTCCAGTCCCAGGGGATCCAACAGCCTCTTCTGACTGCCTCAGGCATTGCATGATACAGGTGCACTTACCTACATGCAGGCAATACACACATGCACATAAAATTACCTACATGCAGGCAATACACGCATACACATAAAATAAAAATAATAAAAATATAAAAATATTTTTATTTTTATGTGTATGCATGTATTCCCTGCATGTATGTATATATACCCCACCCATGTGCAAAGCTCTCGGAGGTCAGAAGAGGGTGACAGATTCCCCTGGAACTGGAGTTACGGATGGTTGTTAGCTGTCATGTGGATGCTGGGAATTGAACCTGGGTCCTCTGCAAATCAGCCAGTACTCTTAACTGCTGAGCCATCTCTCTAGCCCCCGTAAAAATATTTTTCTAAAAAGTCTTCACCATGGTCCTAGAGCTCTTCATACTCTGTCCCCAGCCACTGACTCCCTCCTCCAGCACCCCACTTCCAGCTCATTCTTGAACTTCTGCACATGCTCCCAACCCAGGCCCTCTGCACTGCTTTTCCTCTTCCAGGATGCTGTCCAGCTCTCTCCCTGGAACTTCTGAGGTGCTCTCCCTCACCTCCTTCCAGCCTTGCTATCACCTTCTGGGTAGGCCTTCCCTCCCAGACCAGCCCACCCCTTGCTTCACTGTTTCGTTTTATTGTTCAAATCCTCATGAGGATCCTCTGATATGACACGCACCCCAGTTTATTATCTACCTCCCCCCATTGCCAGCTTAACATCAGGAGTCCATAGCAAGGCTCTCTGACCCCAGCACATTAGGGCTCCAGAGGGCTGCTGCCACATGGACACCCTACACTTGCAGAAGAGGTCCTAGCAAGGAGAGGAGCCTGCTTCAGAGGGCCATGGTGCCCACCCACATGGGCACCCATTCTGCCCAGCTCCTGGATTCTCCTACAGGAAGCTGCCAAACCCTCTGCCAAGGTACCCCCAACCATGTTCCCCAAATCCTCAGGTACTGCCAGTCTCCAGCTGTCAGCTTGCCCCCGGCTGGCGGGCGCCAGCTCCTGGCAGATTGGCTGGGGTGTAATTAGAAACCCACTAGTTCCCTAATTGCCAGTTCTTCTCAAAAACTGGGAGGCTGACGCTATTCTGAGCCGCCCTTGTTTCTGGTTGCCTGAGGCATGCAAAGAGGGAAGGGCTAAGAGCAGAGCCAGGCTAGTGGTATGGAGGTGGATCTAGAAGCCTGGCATACGGCCAGAAATCAAACGTGGCACAGAGAGGGCTCAGTGCAGTCTGCCCTGTGGCTCCCTCCCTGCCACCTCTACTAGTTCCAGCCCAGAAGAGTAACGTCAAATCAGCCAGGCCCATTCATTCTTTATTCAGGTGGCATAAAAATCACTACAAAAACTTTACAAAAGAGCCTTAGAGAGCTAATGAGGCCCTTCCCTGCCTCAGCCCCTGAACTTCCTGCCAGAGGAAGAAGACAAGAGAGAGGAAGGAAGGGTATCGTGGCAGTGCTGGCATCTCCAGGGACCAGGGGGAGATTTGGGTGGTGGGACATGGGTGGGAGTCTTGAGGCCTTCAGCAAGCTACATAAGAATCAAGGTAGATTAACCTCCACTCATGGGGTAGGACACTGGGAAGGAGGCAGTGTCTGATGTCAGGACAAGGCTTTGCCTCCTGAGTCAGCACCAATACCTGTCTCTCCTCTTCCCAACCAGGGTGTTTGGTGACATGTCCAAAGGCAGCCTCTCCAGCTGCTGCCTACAAAAGTGGAAGTACCCCAGCTAAATGAAGGATTCACCCAACCTACCTCAAGCCAAAGCTGTATCTACAGCTGCCTTGACACCAAGCCCCCCAAAAGACACCCTCTGATTCCCTTTGGAAGAAATGAGAATTCTCCATGGCTGCCTCCTCCCAGCCCCACGCACCCACCCACCTGCCTCCCCAGGAGTTGCTAGAATAGTTTCTCTCCCTCCAGACTGCCTCTCCAGGCCCCGCCCTATCCCACAAAGCTGGTTAGAAAGTCACAAGCATTGAGAGGCTGGTCCAGGTGGGGACTCAGGATGCAGCTGCTGCCCAAGGCCCCTCCTCACTTGGGGCTGTTAAACTCGGGGTAATCCTCCTCCAAGGGGGCCTCAAGTTTCAAGTCAGGACCCAGGGCCTTGTCTCCATGGAAGGCAGCTTTCTGGTTCTGGAAGAAGTCCCTGTTGTCAGGAGAATCTTGCTGCTCCTGGAGCTGGGGCTGTGCACTAGGGTTGGGGTTCTTCACACTGCCCACAAAAAGGGGCACACCTATGGTGTCCTCCATGACAAAGAAGATGAATGGGCGGTTCACAGTGAAGGAGGAGAGGGACATTCGATTCATGGCTGTGCTGGTGGCTGCAGCCGCCTCTACACCAGCCTCACTGAGCTCCATGGTGGACTGATGCTGCACACTGGACACCACCAGCCTCTGGTCAGAGATCCCACGCAGGTCTGGGCCCTGAAACAACTCCTGCAGGCCTGCCCGGGAGCAGCAGATGGCTGGTCAGTTCTGCCCCCAGGCTACCTGGACCTGTCTGGCATCCTGGCTAGAGGGAACACCTTGAACACTTTTGCCTGACACCTGTTACACCTTCAAGTCTCAGCTTAGACATCACTTTCTGTAGAAACCTCCCCTGATCCCAACCTCAGTCTGAACTAAGTACCTGTTAAATATTCTCCAGGGTAAGCTGGAGAGGACCCTGACTTATCACTTATGCTAGATTTCAAGTACCTAACTCTTCATGTGCCCACCCCATTAGGCTGAGTACTTTGTATACAGTGAACTCCTAGTATCTGATTACAGTGCCTGGAATATAGAAAGTGCTTAGATGCTCTCTTTAGCAGGGTAACCCCCAGCTTCCTCCAGGATAACCAGTAAGGCTCACATGTCACCCTGCACTCTTTACCCAGGATTCTTTGCAGCGCTCAGTCTTGGGTAGCAAGAGTATTTGAGTTAGTTCACCCCAGGACAGGTCAAATGCTCTCATCCAGGATGCAGGGCCACATCCAACTTGAACACACTACCAGCTGGAGGCCTCTCTTCACCCACCCTGCCCAGACTGCCTGGTACCACCCCATGCCCAGCCTCCTTACCCAGCTGGCTGAGGGTGGCCACCAGGTCCAGCTGATGTTTCAGATGCAGTTTAGGCAGCCACACCTTGGTGGGCTTCTCCCGCAGTGAGGGCTGGTACAAAGTGTCCCAGCTCAGATTAGCCAGTACCTGGGACACATTCCACTCAAAGTAAGTGGGCATCATGACCACAAAGCTCATGTTGTTCTTAAAGGGGAAATGAGCCACCTACAGATAAGGAAAGGAAGAACATGAGGACCAGAATGCACCCAAACCTCACTGGAGTCTGGCCAGCATCACTTTTGTCTTTCAGAGACAGGGGCCTGGGGTTCAAGTTCATGCTCATCAGTAGATGTCTGGTCTCACTGTGCTTTCACTTCACCTGTGAAGTGGAACAGTATCACTTGCCCCATTGCAGGTTGACGTGTGACCAAATAAGATACTACTTTTAAATTTGTGTGTGCATGCACATATATGTGTATACTTTTGGGGGGGTTTTTGGTATTTTTGAGACAGGATCTCCCTCTAGCCCCAGCTGGCCTAGAATTCACTATGTAAACCAGACTGGCCTTGAACTCACAGAGATCCACCTGCCTCTGCCTCCCAAATGCTGGGATTAAAGGCATGAGCCACCACATCCAGTTCACGTGTATACATTTTTATGAGGGTATGGATAAGCTTCAGTGTATGTGTGTGTGTGTTTGTGTGTAGGGCAGAGGTCTATATCAGGTGTCTTCCTAAATTGCTCTCCACTTTTTTTTTCACCTTATTTTTCAAGACAGTCTTTCACTGAACCTGGAGTTCCCCAATTTGGCTAAATTAGCTGGCCAGCAAGCCCCAGGGACCACCTCCTGTCTCTGTATCTCCAATTCTGCACCCAGGTTTCTATATAGGTGCTAGGGGTTGAACTCAGGTCCTCATGTTTTTGGGGTAAGCACTTCACTTACTGAGCCATATCCCTAGTCCTGTACACACACACACACACACTTTTTTCAGTCAGGGTCTTGTGCATCTCAAGCTGGCTTTGAAATCACTATGTAGTCAAGGATGACCTTGACCTGATCCTCCTGTCTTCATATCCTGAGTGCTGAGATCACAAGCATGCACCACCATGCCCAGTTTTATAGGGGTTTTGGGGTTTTTTTTTTTGGTGTTTTTGAGACAGGGTCTCCCTGTAGTCCCATCTGGCCTGGAACTCTATGTAGACCAGTCTGGCCTGGAACTCACAGAGATCCGCCTGCCTCTGCCTCCCAAGTGCTGGGACTAAAGGCATGTGCCACCACACCCAGCTTGTTTTGTTTTTTTTAAAACAGGGTCTTAGCCAGGCAAGGTGGCACATGCCTGTAGTCCCAGCACTTGGGAGGCAGAAGCAGGCGGATGTCTGTGAGTTCAAGGCCAGCCTGGTCTACATAGTGAGTTACAGGACAGTTGGGGCTACAAGGAGACCCTGCTTCAAAAAGACAAAAACAAAACAAAACAAAAAAACAGGGTCTTATATGTCCCAGGCTGGCCTAGAAATGAAAGCAGTATGTAACTGCAGATGACTTTGAACTTTTGATCCTCCTGCCTCCATCTTGTAAGTCCTAGGATGACAGTTCAGCCTGGTTTGCACAGTGCTAGGAACTGAACCAAGGACTTTGTGTATGCTAGGTAAGCATTCTAACAACTGAGCTGTATCTCCAGCCATGCTTGAAGCTTGAATCTTCTAGCAGTGTCTTCACTCACAGGCTGAGTTCTCCATCTGCTACCAGTTAGTTATTCGAAAGGATCTCCTATCTCTATCTCTCAGTAGGGTCACTAGTTTTTTTCTTTCTTGGGGGGAGGGTCTTTTTGAGACAGGGTCTCCCTGTAGCCCCAGCTGGCCTGGAACTCCCTATGTAGACCAGGCTGGCCTTGAACTCACAGAGATCCACCCACCTCTGCCACCCAAGTGCTGGAACTAAAGGCATGCACACCATGCCTGGCGTGGTCACTAGTTTTCCAATTGACCTAGGGAAGCCACTGAAAAGGGTAGGGAACCCTTCATATTCTTTTCACCCTTACCACTGGTGTCTTACCATGTAGCAGTGTCTTTGCTACATATGCCGAGATTTGGAATAAGATGCTTTGTTTTATTTTGAGACAGGGTCTTGTTATGCAGTCCTGGCTGTCCTCAAACTTTCAATCCTCTTACCTCAACCTCCTGAGTGCTGGGATTATAGGAGTGAGCCAACACACCCAGCTCACAAGATCTTTTTTGAAGGAGTCCTACAGCTAAGGAAACTACTAGGCTCAAGGGTCTCTTGAGGCTGCGACTCCTTGAGTTTCAGTTAGAGTGCCTGCATGCAGGTCCCCTGCAAGTGGGAAGATGAGTGCCAGGTCTGGCTGCCTGGACCTGCCTGAAAAAGCATGAGGAGGATGGAGGAGGTGAAGGATGTAGAAAGAGCAGGTAACACAGGGCTTGGAGGGAAGGAAATCAGGGAGAAGCTGAGGGAAGTGGACCTGGCCAACCTTTGTTCGACATGAGCTGCAGAGAAGCCAGGCTGCCCAAGTGGCTGCCCAAGTAACTATGTTCTATGTCCTGCTGGCCTTACCAAACTAACCAACAAAATGGGTGTGAAAGCACACACCTAAGATCCAGCTGGGGCAGGAGAAACATGGGTTCAAGACCAGCCTGTATAACATAGCCAGACCTACCTTGCCTCAAAAAAACAAAATGAAAACAAAAATAAAACAAAACTAGCCAACATTGTTTTCTCAGCCACAACTGACTGGCCCAAGTATCAGTGTCCCAGTCAAGGGACCACATTTGGACTCGAAGGAGGCCTTACCTGAAACAGCTTGGCACAGAACTCCATCTAATCAGAATGTTCTGTGCAATATGCTGAGAAATCAACCCAACTGGGTCCTCCCTTCCAAGAAGCACTGAGTGTGAACTCAGAATGTCCCAGGCTTTGAAGAGCTTCAGACCTTGGGTGACTTGCACGCCTTCGGTCATGGAGCTTGATAACCCAGATTTTTGTAATAAACCCTCATCACCAAAGTCATGTGCGCCTCAATCGGTGTCCCCTCTTCAAAGAATTCTCTGAGACTCAGTCACTAATCAATAGCCTCTTTTTTTCCTTCATAGTACTTACATTGTCTGAAATGATTTTGGTATCATGTATCTTCTCTCTTAAGAGCAGGCCCTGGTCTCTCTTGTGCCTCACTAAAACCCCAGTGTCCAGAACAGTATCTGGCACACAGCAAAATCTCAACATATTTTCTTTGAGCAAACAAACCTCAAAGAGCCCATGCTCTGGGTAAAAGCATAGTAAAACCTTTCAGAGCTTCTTACCACAGAGGTAAGACTGTAAGGAAAGTGGGATACCCCTTCACCCCTGAGGCCCCTCCATAGCCTGCCCCCACCTCCCAGCACCAGGCCTACTTTTCTGGGTAACCCAGGGTGACCTGTATCTCAGGCTGCTCCAACAAGAACCAGCGCAGAGGGTATGACTGTGCTTGCATCATGTCCACTGGCACTGTGAACTGCTCATCCAGGTGGAAGGAGTCTCTCTGGGTGAGGCTTGGGTCAAACTTGCTCCTCCAGAAACCTGCAGCCAGGCAGAGGGCAGGAGCCATGTAGCCCAAGACTAGCCTCTTGCCCATCCCACCTAGAACCCATTTAAAGGATGAGAGGTGGAAGCCAAGCTCCCATGGGGTGCTGTGCCAGTTGACACTCAGTTGATCTTAAGTCCCTTCCCTATATCTAAGTTTATGTTTCTCCACCCCTTTGAAGCCTCAGTTTTCTCTCAAGGCAGTCTGTCTTCAATAGCTTCAGCCAGCTTCTGGGCCTGCTCCCCACACACCCAGACAGCCTCCTGCTTCATGGTCTAGCATCCTCAGAACAAAGCCTGCACAGCCCCACTCAGCCTACAGGGTTGGGAGGGCTGTCAGGGCAAGGGCTTAAGAAGAAGAGTGCACCGTGAAAGTGGATGGCATTGAGGAGAAGCAGGACGGTGTTATCTGGTAGCTCAGAAAGGAAGTCCTCAATCTTCCCCTCTGTGGCTTCCTTCACCCATTGGTTGATGTTCACCAAGTCTTCCTCCTGCTTTCCAGTCAGTTTCACCGGCTTTGCACCAAAGAGTTGTTCTGATTGCTCCAGGAAATCCTCTTTGATGGGAAATTCTGCACACAACGGGCCACATGCTCATCCCAGGGCTGTGGGCTTCACAATCACCAATGTTCTACCTAAGGCCAAGCCCCTCTCCTTTGGCCACTGCAGGGCACTACCTGGGTAGCTGACTGCCATCAGCACCTACCTTTCTGCAGGTACATTCTGGCAGCCAGTCTGATTGCCTCAGGGCCCAAGTTCCGGCAGAGGTGGCTCAGTAGATGGGGGAGGCAGGACTCTGAGTTCATGTGTAATACCTGTTGCAAACTCTGCAGAGTTTGGTTCTGAGCACCTGAAGGGAACCAACTGGGCTAAGGCCCGGGCCCGAAGTTCTTTCTTTCCCCACTGCCTGCTCCACCCTCTCATACCCCCATGATAAGCATGGCCACCAACCACTGCTCTCCCCCATATCCATTGAGCCCTAGGACTCCTGAGTTCTACTTTCATCTCTGCTGCTGACAAGCTGGGTGACCTTGCTTCACCTAATATCCTTCCTTCTTTAAACCTCAGTTTCCCACAGTGAGACCCTCCTGTCCAGTGAAAATTATTGTAGCTATGTAACTTTTGCACTAAAATAACTAGGGACTTGTTAGGCCATATTCCTGGAAATCTTGACTCACAGAGGCTGGTGACAGCTTAGGCACCTGCATTTCACCAGATGTCCACATGTCCCTGATGGAGGAACCATCCACTGATAACCCCTGCAGCACTGAGCTCCTAGTGGCCTCCCAGTTCTGCTGGACAGGTGCTGCCCCAGTACCTAGTGCCAGGTGAGACAGTGCCAGGGCCACACTCAGGGGTGACAGGACAAGGTTGGGGCTGGTGGATGTTTGGGCCACCAAGGAGAATAAATCAGCAGTGAAGGCCATCATGCCCCGAGCCAGCCTGTGGGTCTCTTCTGCAGTTGGGGTACTCTTACAGTCTTCTGGAAACCTCTTCAAGGTAGTCTGACTACCAAGTTCCTACAAGGACAAATCATAGGTCAGTGAAGTCACAGGGTCAGGTCTAGTTCTCGGTGTCTCTCATAGTCCCAGTGCTGGAGGGCAGCAGGGCCTTTCCCAGACCTGAAGGAAAAGGGAGGATCACACTGGGGTCCTTCCTACCCCACCCTTCTGAACCCCCAAACATCAGTTCTATGGCCACACCTCCTATTCCCTTGACCCTACTGATTGGCCCTCCTCCCTCTGACCCCATCCACTCTTCCCCAGCCCCACCTGGTTGTACCTGGTTGCCCAACTTGAGAAGGACAAGTGGGGGCAGCTTCTGCTGGGTCTGCTCATTAATTAGCTTTGGAAAAGAGGAAACAGATGGAGAATAATCACCCTGACCAAGACACAGAGGAGACGGTTGTGCTTTTCCTCCAAAACCCCTCACTCCCCAGTACCTGTGGACTTGGAAGATCCATGGTGCTCACAGCGGAGAACTGTTGAGAAAGAGGTGAGGTGATGTAGGGGAACCCCCTCAGATCCAAGCCCTCCCTGGACCCAGCACTCCCCCTCTCTATTCCTCTGTCCTCTCCCAAACTCATCTCTGCCCCCTTTATCTTCTTCAACCTGACTGGTCTCTTCCCACCCAAACATCAGTCCAGCCTCACCATGGAGCAGGGACCTTGCAGACAGGACAAGCTGAGTACCAGGAGTCCCCGGAGCAGTGCCATGTTCCTGTATCCAGAACAGGAAGGCTTAGTTCCCACCTCACACTTGCACATCGGGTGGTGGAATCCTACCTACAGGTTCACTGACCTGGCAAGCTGCAAAACCTGGACCCATACCCAAATCACGTGAGCTGTGGTTCTCATCCCTAAGCAGTGGGATTGCCAAGACTTCCTTCACCCTTGTAGTCTTCATTCTTCCAGGACTTACATTGTGAATCAGACCTGGGTTCCAATCTAGGTTGAGCCTCTTGCCAGAAAGCCTTGGGCATCTTCCTTAATGCCTCTAGGCTTTGCCTTATTTTGTAAAATGGTAGCAGAATTCCTTTCTCCTCCCATGTGGATTTTGAGGACCAAAATAAAGTCTTTGTAGGTACTGAGTATGATGCCTGGCCCTCAGTGATAGGCCACTGGGAAGGGCTCCCACCACAGAGCTCCCATCCAACCTGCAGTCTGTGTCATCCAGCCTTTCTCAGGCTTCCTAAGTCCTACCCAGCAGAGTAGACAGGTCTGTGGGCCCCGAAGGCTCAGCAGGGATGGCAAGGTGGCCAGTAAGCTGCTTTGTTGACCTAGTAGCAGAGCCCAATGAATGACTCTGGCCCAGATACCTTTGGACTTACGGAAACGGGAACCACAGGCCTCATCCCAACTCTGCCCCCAATTCTGCTCTGGGGTGCTTTGGAGAAGCCAGGCTGGTGGATGGGGATGGGCAGGTCATATTCTAGGACCGCAAAAACAGCTCCCCACCATCAACACCTACCCAGCCCCTATCTCTGGCTAACTCTTCTGGAGCGTCCTTCTGTAACCTCCATAATCCTCCAACATCATACACAACAGCCCTCAGCCAAGCCCTGATCTCCAGTCTGGGCCTGTGAGTCTTCCTGGAAAGCCAAGGCCTCCAGGTTCTGAAGTTCCTGAGGGACCCCTCCTGGAGCCCCCACCTCCATTCCTCACCACTCCAGGAGGCAGCAAAACTGCAGGCTCCATGGATAAATTCAGCCCAGACCCCTTCCAAGTTAGCAGCTCCCCATCTCCTCTGCTGTTGGAGGAAGAGGCTGCACTACCCCTCCATCCTACCTCTTCAGGTTCCTTGCTGCCGCACACGGTGTTCCTTTGGCCCCACTTAGCTGTTCCCCACGCTCTGCCTGGCCGGGCCAGCCCAGCCTAGCTCTCCTCCCACCAGGACCTTTGCTCCTAGCCAACCCCTGTTCAGCTTGCTTTCTCTACTGGTAAATATTGACCTGTACATCCGGTTAAACATTGATACGGGGGCCAGAAGCCCCTTTCCCACCAGGGGTACTAATCCTAAGACAACCATCCCAGGACCCTGCCTGAGTGTAGATAGCTAAGAGGGCAGATCCAATTTGCACAGGGGCCTGGCACTATGGCAAGCCTTCTAATGGTCCCTCAACATGGGTATTATCCCTGTCAGGCTCAGAAGGTTGTGTGACCTGTCCAAGGGCACTGAGCTGAGCCCAGAGGCACATCTAGACTCCTGTACTCAAGTTCTTGTTCTTACTTCTTCGTAAGTTGCCCAAAGGAAGGGGAGGCTGCAGGAGCCTGTTCAGAGAACCCAGCCCCAACCCTAACAAGCCCAGGATTCTGGTTGGCTACCTCCAGCCTGGGCCCCAGGGCAAGGGGTGGAGAGACAAAGAGATGCAGAGGGAGGCAGGTTCACCCAGGGTCCCACCTCTTCAGCAGCAGTACTGGCTCACTTTCCCCAAGGATGAGAGTTCTGAAAATTGGCCTGAGGCTGCTAATACCAGTGGCCCTGCAACCTGGGTAATCAGAGGGCAATGATGAGGCTGCCTCTCCGCCTTCCTACCCTGCTCCTCACTGCCCTGTAGGCTGGTGGGCCTGGTGACACAAGTCTATAATATCAGCACTTGGGAGGTGGCAGGAAAAGGATCAGGAATTCAAGGTCAACCTCAGCTACACATTGAGTTCAAAGCCAGTTGGAGCTACATAAAACTCTGTATCAAAAAGTTGGGCAATTGTCTGTGAATTGCCCAAGTCCAAGTCGCACATCTAGGATGCAACCTCTATACCTAAGGCTCACAGACCATAAAAACAAGGGATGAAGAGAATATTAATGCATCTTTCAACTCTCATCAATGAATCTCCTTCATGCAACAGAGGAACACAAAAGGAACAGAAATGGTCAAAACACAGAGAATAAGGGGTTGGGGATTTAGCTCAGTGGTAGAGTGCTTGCCTAGTAAGCACAAGGCCTGGGTTTGGTCCTCAGCTCCAGAAAAAAAAAAAAAAAAAAAAGACAAAACAGAGAATAAGAGTCTATAGAATGTGGATCCTTGAACAGGAGTATAATATAGGAGTATATTAAAATCTACCCACCCAGGGCTCAGGGACCTTTGCAGAAGACAGGGCGGAAAGATTCTAAGAACCAGGGAGGAGGTGCATGACAATATGGACCTCCTACAGGTGCCTGGGACCCTTATACAAACCTACAGCAAGGATGTCAGCATGCACAAGACCCATGCAAACTTATGCAAACAAAAATCCAGCACAGAACTGGAAACGAACAGCAGGCCCCAATTTTAGATTAAGGATTATTGGCAGCTGATTACTGCTGGGTGCGGAAGAGCTGATCTTAAAGGGAGGGACTCTAGATAGGATGACTAGATTCCAGTGGATGAACTTGCACTGAAGGACATTTGGGGACACCAACTTTACATAATAGGCCTTAACACAAATGACAATGTATGAACTCCAGTGGGGGAGGGTACCAAAGGGGAAGGAGGTATAAAGATGATTTTCTGTAAGACACAAAAACTCAATAAAAAAACTTTTTTTTAAAGTTGGGCGCCGGGCATGGTAGCACAGGCTTTTAAGCCCAGCACTTGGGAGGCAGAGGCAGGCGGATCTCTGTGAGTTCAAGGCCAGCCTGGTCTTCATAGTGAGTTCCAGGACAGCTGGGGCTACAGGGAGACCCTGTCTCAAAAAAACCCAAAAAACAAAAAACCAAACAGGCAAGGGGTAGGGTGCGGTGGCATATGGTGCTCTGTGAGATGGTGACCAGTCAGGTCTACAGAGCAAGTTCCAGGCCAGCTGGGGCCACAGGGAGACCCTGTCTCCAAAAAATAAAAATAAAAGGTGTGGTGGTTTATGCCTATGTATCCCAGTACTCGGGAGGTAGAGACAGGAGGATCACCCCAAGATTGTGGTTAGTTTGATCTATATAACAAGTTCAAGTTCAGCCTGAGCGAAGTGAGACAAAAACCTTAAGTCAGAAATGGTGAGACCCACCTGTAGCCCCATTATGTGGGAAGCTGAGGCAGAATCACTTGAGCCCAGTCTGAACAAAAGAAAGCCTCATTCAGCTCCACGGCTCATCCAAAGGATTTATTGATGTTATTTACATCTATTGCAAATAGTGAGGAGGCAGCAGGGGCCATGCCTCAGACCTCATCTCTGTTCCAGATGAGGACTCAAGAGATGCAGAAATGATTCTTGTTGCCCCTTCTTCCAAGGTCTTGAACTCTCCCCCTAGGGGGGGCTTGTCCCAAGGGCTGCCTCCCCAGCACAAGGCACAAATACTATGGTTAGGGGTACCAAGGCAAGGCATGGATTCATTCCTGGCAAGAACCAGGTAACCCATCTGACCTTCTCTCCCCTGGTCCTGCCCTCTTTTTTCCTCTCCTGGTCCCACACCAAAGGCTCTAGCTGAATAGACACTTAAATCCCTGAACTACTAGGTCATGGACAGACTTCCTTAGGCAGTTTCAATGCCCAGGGCAGAGGCAGTTTCCTGTCCCTAAGGGACAGGAGCAGAGTGTGCCCAGAATGGGGGGCTTGACTACAAGCTGGCTGGGCAAGCTCTATCTCCCTTCCCTTCTCTAGAGCTTCCTTGTCCTTATGTGAACACAGAAGGCAGAATTGGGAGCAATGGGGGTCACCATGCTTTTCCCTGTTTGTGTTTTTGGCTGGTTAGGAGCAGCATTTCCCCAGTTTCATCAATGAGACCGCTTGCAGCTTTGGAGATTCAGGAGCTAGGAGACCCTAGCTGGCAGGCTGTGTGGGTACCCAGGGCTGGGGGCTTGGCTAGAGGGAGCTGCTGAGAGATGAAGGATGAAGAGCTAGACCTGGGTATGCCAGCTTGCTCCTGCCCAGTCAGCTCCTGCCTGGGCCTATGCCAGGAGGCGGATGATGCCATTGTCCGAGCCCAGCAGGAGATGACGTTTCGTGGGCAGCAAGGCCAGACTAGTTAGAGTGCCACGGAAATTCTCGGAACTGAGCTTAGTGGTGGCCTGGGAGGGTGGTTCAAGCAGGGAGCAGACACCAATCTTGTTAGCTACAGTGCCAGTGACCACCTCACTGCCGTACAGGTCGAAGGTATGGATGGGGTCAGATGCTGACTTGTAGTGGTGCGTGGGCTTCTGCTCCAGCTCCTTCCAGACAGTCAAGGAGTGATCGGAAGAGGAGCTGACTAGGATGCTGCCCTCTACTGCCTGCAGAGAGTAGGAGGGGAAGAGAGCTTCAGTGGGAGCCTGGGCATCTTGTCCACCCACAGAGCTTCAAGGCCATCCCAGAGTACTGTGAGTCATCATTAATATTAACATATTGAGGCCGGGCATGGTGCACACATCTTCAATCATAGTGAGTTCCAGGCCAGCCAGTGCTACATAGTGAGACCCTGTCTCAAATATATACATATAGTCATTAACATCATCATCACCGACTGGGCAAAATGGCACAAACCCGGAAACCAAGTTTGAGGCCACCCTGTTCTATCTAGAAAGTCTGAGGCCAGCTAGCACTTCATAGTGAAACCTTGTCTCAGAAAAATCAAACTAGGGATGGAGAGATGGCTCAGAGGTTAAGAGCACTCAATGCTCTTGCAAAGGACCTGGATTCAGGTCCTAGCACTCACGTGGTGGCTAACAACCATCCGTAACTTCAGTTCCAAGGGACCTTATGCCCTCTTCTGGCCTCTGAGGGCATTGCATGCACATGGTGCACTTATATACATACAGGCAAAACACAAACAGAAATAAAAATTGGGGCTTGAGAGATGGCTCAGCAGTTAAGAACACTGGCTGTTCTTGCAAAAGATTCATGTTCAAATCCTAGCACCCACATGGCAGCTAACAACTGTCTGTAACTCCAGTCCCAGGGGATCTGACAGCTTCTTCTGTCCTCTGTGGGCATTGCATAACACAGGTATACTCACCTACATGCAGGCAATACACACATACAAAAATAATGTTAAAAAAAAAAACAAAAAAACAACAAACTAAACCAACCTCCCCTCCAGATGTGTATCATTCCCATTTGAGAACAGACTCTGCTGTGTGGGGACTGTTGCAAGGCATGCCCCCAGTACCATAGCTAATCTTCCTGGCAATTCTGCAAGGTACATGCTGCCACTGTCCTTTTTGTTTTTTGAGATAGGGTCTCACTATGCTGCCCCAGCTGGCCTAGAACTCGATATATAGACCAGGCTGGTCTTATTCTCAGAGCTCTGCCTGCCTCTGCCTCCAGGGATTAAACACATGTGCCACCACACCTAGCTACTGGCCCTATTTTTTAAAGATTTTTATTTATGTGTATGTGTATACTACATGAGTGCAGGTGCCCTCAGAGGCCAGATGAGGGTGTCAGATTCCAAGCTGAAGTTATAGGCAGCTTACGGTGGGTGCTGGGAACTGAACTTGGGTCCTCTGAAGAGCAGCAAGCACACTTAACCACTGAGCCATCTCTCCAGTCCACAACATTGTCCTCATTTTATAAAGGAAAAAAACTGAAGCTCAGAGAAGCTAAGTAATCATACCAAGGTCACAGACAACTGGGATTAACACCCATGCTGACTCCAGCGCCATTCTGATACTTTCTTGGAATGTTAGAATTTACACTTGCAACCCAGGACCAGAGGGCAGCCTGGCTTTGGCAGCAGCAGCAGTATATGTCCCTAGCCTCCACCCACACTGGGGAAAAGAGTTCCAGTTAATGGGAGAAACCCTCCCACAAGCAGCCCCATTCCTCCTCTCCTAGACTTTACTAAGCCTTCCAAGGCCTGTGATTGAAAAATGGGGAACAGGAACATGATCCCCATGCCCAGGCCTGCTCCTGCCCCTAAGGAGTAGCCCAGCAGGAGGCATGGACTCTGCTCAGTGGTCTCCAGGCAGTAAACAGCCTCCCAGCTGAGCTTTATTTAACCTGAACTGGGTCACGGACAGGGCACGACCCCTGATCCTCCAAGCAAGATAAATATGGACAAGGGTTACTTATTAGAACATCTCTGTGGAGCAGCAGGGTCAGTTCTACCCCTGGTTCCTGCCCCTGGCCTGCCTCCTGTGAAGTTGGCTTCTGAGCTAGCCTACAGAGGCCACCTTCCCTGCCCAGCAGATGTCCCTGAGCAAGTATAAGGGACATGAGCCAAAGCCTATCCTCTCTCAGGGCCATGAGGAGGGGAAGGGGCCCAAGTCCATCACCTTGATTAGTAGAATGTCCCCCTCATGGGCTGGCCAGCCTCGTAGAACTAGGCCAGTGCGGGTGTCCAGGAGCACCATGAAGCCTGAAGAGAAGCCAGCCACAACACTACGGCCATTGGGACTGACTGCCAGGGAACGGACAAGACCAGGGTTCAGCCCTCCACCCAGTCGGAACTCGTGCTGTAGGTAAAAGAACACTGTGCTGAGTTGCCACCAATCAACACCACCCAACCTACCGAAGTCCACACCATTCAGGTCCATATGACTAGGAGGCCTGAGCCTCCCACTCCATCCAGGGGAAGAAAATCTCAGAACCTCAGGCCAATATAGACCAGAACCCCACCCACACGGCTGCAGTTGTGTGGCACCCAGGCTTTCTCTGAGTTTCCTCTCTGCCAGGTGCCAAGAGACCCAGGTTAGGGCATAGGGAACAACACCCCCCTTCCCCGCCCAGACCTGCAGGCCAGGCTTCCTGCAGTCCACGAAGCGCAGGGTTGAGTCAGAGCTGGCCATGGTGATACTGGTATGGGGGGCAGGCATGACAGCAACAGCAGTCAGGGGCACCCGGCTGTCTGATGGCTCTATTGTGCGAAGGGTCTTCCCTGGAAAAGAAAGGCACTATGCATTTGAGCACCCAGTGGCTATCAAAGAGCCCTGGCTACTTCAAGCCCCCTGACTCACCCCATACCTACCTCCCATTCCCCAGTGATCCTCAGAAAACACAAAAGAGATTTCTGGACTCTCTTATCTTCCTGCTTCCATGGCCAAGCCAGGATCCCATTCCCAAAGCAATATAGTCTCCTCACACAGCATGTCCTAACCAGCTGCCACCTCCTTATCTGCCCCAACACCACTCCATTTCTTTCCCTCTCCAACTGTATTCCTTTTCACGATGACAGCCATCAGGCTTGCTGCTTATGTGCTACATGCTGCACAAGAAACCAAACCCCTAGGTGATTATCTTCAAACTAGTTTTTTGATTATCATTTTACACACATAAAATGGATGCTTCCAATAGTAAAGTGGCTTGCTGGTAAGTTGGTGAAACTGATTCAAACTCAGGCCTCAGATTCTAAGCACTAACTATTCCGCCATTCTGCCCAGTCTCACTGGATTTCCCCTAAAATATGCCATTACACATTTCCCTCTAAGGCCCCATTCCCAGTAGCCTGGCAAGGCACAGTATAGCAGGCACAGAACAGGCCTCACCTGGGCCCGCTCACCTGTGAAGGGGTCCCAGACGTGCACTGCCCCATCACAGCTCACCACATACTGCGGGGCCTCAAGCTGGCCCACGTAGAAGACACTCTTGCGGTGCTGGCCATAGATGAGGCGGGAGGCTGTCTCACTGGTACCATCCCCATAGTTGTACAGTGGCCAGAGGCGCACGGTACGATCTTTACTGCCACTCAGGAAGAAGTCCTCGCTGGTCAGGGGAGCCACACATTTGACAGCCCCCATGTGGCCTGGGAAGCTCTGCAGGCGGATCTGGTGGAAGTGGAAGTGGGCGTCCTGCTGGCTCACACCAATCTCATACTGCCAATATGCCAGCCAGTTCCCACTCAGCCCATGGGCACTCCGGGGCAGCTCCCGCTTCAGAGCATTGTCCTCGCTCCTGCTGCTGAGACCTCCACCACCCATCCCAGAGATGGGGCCCAGTGGCCCAGGGCTCTCAGGCTGAGAGTCAGGGATCTGGATGCGATTTCCAACCAAGACACTCCCAAAGGTCCCTGAGTGGCCATCATCCTGGGGACAGCTCCCACCCTGAAAGTCCCACTCAGGGCCGGTGCTGGGCATGGTGGGCTCCACACTGGTTGGGTTACGAGCACTTGGGCTGATGCTTTCCAGATACAGCCCTGCCAGCTCCCCAACCAACTCGTGGTTGGGGATGATTTTCCGGATGATGTCACCTGCATGGGAGCGGGAGAAGTTCTAAGATCGGGAAAGCAGCAGGTGGCTGCTGCCATCCATCCAAGGGCTTAGAAACCACAGAAGCCAAGGAAGGTACTGACTGGGCCACTATGGGCAATTAAGTCTTTGAGTCTCAATTTCCTCCCCAATAAAATTTGAACTTCTTCAGCAGTATGTGCACATGAATGCTGCTTCTACAGACCAGGCACCATACTGAAATAGACACAGAATGGTGGGCAAGACAGATGCCTAAAACTCTGTAGGGGTATACTCTACCCAACCACAGGGCTACTCATCCTATTTAGTGAAGCCCAGTACAGTTCCAATCCCATAAGGGAAGCCATAAAGATGGCATGTCACCCATTCTAAAGACCATCATGCTCCCTTACCTTCCTCAGGCACAACAGCCAGTTCCTGAACATGGACTCTGTTTACGTGACACCTTGGAACTTGGGGTCTGGGACCAAATCTGTTTGCTCTGACCCTAAAGACTGTGCTCAAAAGCCACTGTTGGCACATGTCTGTAATTCTAGTGTTCAAGAGACAGAAGCAGGAGGATGGCAAGTATGAGGCCAGCCTGGGCTACACAGTAAGACCCTGTCTTCTTTTTTTCTTTTTTGTCTTTTTGAGACAGGGTCTCCCCTGTAGCCCCAGCTGTCCTCGAACTCACAAAGATCTGCCTACCTCTGCCTCCCAAGTGCTGGGATTAAAGGCATGTGCCACCACACCCAGCAAGACCCTGTCTTAAAAAACAAAAACACCTGGGTGTGGTGGCATACGCCTTTAATCCCAGCACTCAGGAGGCAGAGGCAGGTGGATCTCTGAGTTTGAGGCCAGCCTGGTCTTCATAGTCAATCCAGGCCAGCTGTGACTACAGGGAGACCCTGTCTCAAAAAGACCTCTCCCCCCCACAAAAAAATAAAGGTCAGAGAAATGGATCAGTAGATAGAAGCACCTGTTGCCAGGACTAATAACCTAAGCTCCATCCCTAGAACTCTTGAGAGAGCAGACTCCCAAAAGCTGTCCTCTGACTTCTACATACATGCATGTGCCATGCTCACACATACATCATACACATACACTCAAATAATAATATTTTTAAAAGAAAATGAAGAACCACTAAGCACTAGACAGGTAGAGGAAGGAGGATCAGGAGTTCAGAGTCATCTTTGCTATACAGTGAGTTCAAGGTCAGCCTGGGCTACATGAGACACTCTCAAAAGTAAAAAAAAAAAAAAAAAAAAAAAAAAAGAAAAAAAAAAAAAAAAAAAAAAAAAAAGAAAAAAAAAAAAAAAAAAAAAAAAAAAGAAAAAAAAAAAAAAAAAAAAAAAAAAAGAAAAAAAAAAAAAAAAAAAAAAAAAAAGAAAGAACCCACTGCTGACTCTGGAGCCCTCCCTAGGGAAGAGATGAGTCACCAAGGCTGTGTAAAGGAAGATGATGGGGCAGTACCCAACAGGCAGGAGAAGGGCACATAGATCGTATATGCCATTTCCAGGGTGAAGACCTTCTGCAGTTCTTCCAGCAGGGTGGGGTCCACTGGTCGCCGCTGCCCATCAGAGAAGGTCACCTCTGGTAGCTGGCAATCAACACAGCCCTTGGGATCCAACTGCAGATCCTGTAGGCAGGAAGCCCAGGCAGTCAGCTAGTCTACAGCATTGGCCTAGCCTGCCTGGCCCAGATGCTCTGCCCACCTGTTGTCGAAGCTCGTGGAGATGAGAAAAGACTTGAAAGAAGGTAGCCACAGGCTCACTCAGGTGCTGCTGGACCATCTCCTGTCCAATGCGCAAGCAGATGAGGGCAATGAGGCTGATGGTCTTCACACACAGAACAGTCCGAGCCTGGGCCCCACTGGGGAACCTAGAAACACAGTACATCAGCTCCAAGCCCATCTCTGAAGGGCTTGACCAGTCTACCATGAACTGCAAATAACAGGAGCTCTAAGACTAATCAGTCCAACCCAGATCAGGAAGCTGAGGCATGAGAAGTATGGCTTGCTCAGAGTTAGAGCTAAGTCAGGACCAAAACTTCTCTTTTGTGGTTTTTGTTTGAATAAATGTTTGAATTATTTTTTATCTTTTTATTTTATGCATCTGAGTGGTTTTTTGTCTTTCTGTCTTTTTGAGACAGGGTCTCCCTGTAGCCCCAGCTGTCCTGGAACTATGTAGACCAGGCTGGCCTCAAACTCACAAAGATCCACCTGCCTCTGCCTCTGAAGTACTGGGATTAAAGTTCTGCACCACCACACCCAACATGTTTTGAGTGTTTTCCCTGCGTGTAAGTGCACCATGTGCATGCAATGCCTGCAGAGGCCAGAAGAGGGCATCAGATCCCTTGGAGTTATGGATGGTTGTTGGTCACCATGTGGGTACTGGGAACTGAACCTGGATCCTCTGCAAGAATAGCCAGTGTTCTTAACCTCTGAGTCATTTCTCCAACCCCTGCTTGCTTGTCTTTCTCTTTCTGGCCTGGAACTTACTTGTAGACCAGGCTGGCCTCCATCTGACACAGATCCACCTGCCTCTGCCTTTCAAGTACTGGGAGTAAAGGTGTGTGCCATCATGCCCAGCCTGTTGTTTCTTTTTAAAGCACCAGGGCTCAAACCCAGTCCCTCTTGTAAGGTGGGTAAATGCTCCATCACTGAGCCATACCCTCAATCCCAACCTAGTATTATCTCCTCCTCCCTGAACTTCCCAGCCCCTCCTGGGGAGTCTCTAAGCCAGGTAGCTCCCCAGTGGGCCAGGGGCCTACCCTGTGACGAGGGAGGTGAGGAAGCTGAGCACAGGCAGGAGGACCTCATGGCTGATGCGAGGCAGGATGTCCATGAGGGTGGTGTCCGAAAGGTACACGATGATCTTCTGAGTCAGTGTCACTGCAGCCAGCAACCCTGCCTCCTTGCGGCTGTTCAATCGGCTGGGGCTTGAATTGCTCCCTGGGGCCACCTGGGACCACAGAACACATGAGGGTCAGACCACCCAACTAACCTCCTGGGACTCCAGAGATCTTGAGCCAGTCCTTGAGGTCCTTAGCCTCCCCACCATGGGCTCACTGAACCAGCAACTGACCAGGTAGCTGATGTAGGGCAGGTACTGGTACGTGAGAACAGGCTCCCCATATAGGTGGGCGATGTGAAGGAGACAGCTGAGCACCGGCCCCGACACTATGTCACCTAGTACTGGCCTCTTTTGGTAGATGTTGCCGGCACTCAACGGAGGGCTCTCATCACTGCTGACTGTGAACTGCTGCTGAGTGGGCCCTGCCAAAGAAGGGCCAGTAGCTTTGAGAAGCTAGTGGAGGGCAGGAGGGAGGTTGGCCTTCTAGGACTGTAGAAGTATCTCTTGTTCATCCTGGGGTCCTCCCCATTCCCAACCCAAGGAAGAAAGGAGCGTATAGACTGAGTCCCAGGACATGCCCAGGAAGTGGTCTGAGGTTGGAGGAAGGAGGGAAGGATCCCCTAGAGAGGGCCAAAGCTGGCACAAGCTTGGGAGGAGACCTGGTCTCCAGCGGTAACCACAGGTCTTACCAACATAACAAGATGTCAGCAGCCGCAGCAGATTCCGGGCCACATGGCGAGAGGCCACTGTGGGGCCAAGCTTGGCAGATAGCCAGCGGACCATCTTGCAGGCTGTATCTGTAGGGTAGGAACAGGCCCTGAGCTCATCAGATAATGTGCTCCTCACCCTTCCTACCCCACCCACTGCACCACACCCCATCCAGTCAACTTTGGCTAAATTTGTCAGTGAGCCTGACCATATTGGGCCCAACCTCTTAGCAGTGGTAGAGGTTCCTAGCTATGGCCCTTGGAACTGGCTGTTCAGGCTTCTCAGACATAACCTATAGGAAGGTCACCCAAGCCAATGTTCCCAAACCCCTGAATGTGGGCCTGTGCCTGACTACCACTTCTATAGCCTACTGTCTCTTAAGCAAAGTATTCTGACCTTTCACTGCTTCTCTGATAGAACCATGAGAGCCTCAGAGACTTGCACATATGCTGTTCCCTCCATCTGAATTACTCTTTCCACTTCCCACTCAATTATAATTGCCTGCTCCCCACTCCACTTGAACCTCATCTGTAGCTTTGTTTCTTTTCTCTCACTATGTAGCTCCAGCTGGCCTGGAACTTGCTATGTAGACCAGGCTAGTCTTGAACTCACAAAGATCCATCTGCCTCTGCCTCCTAAGTGCTGGAATTATTTATTTATTTATTTTTATTTTATGTATATGTGTGTATTGCCTGCATGTTAAGTGCACTCGTGTTGTGCAATGCCTGAGGAGGTCAGAAGAGACCGTCAGATCCTCTGGGACTGGAGTTATGGACAACTGTTAGTTGCCATTTGGGTGCTGGGATTCAAACCCGGGTCTTCTGCAAGAACAACCAGTATTCTAAACCACTGAGCCTTCTTTCCAGCCCAAGTGCTGGAATTAAAGGCCTGCACCATCACAACCAGCTTTGTTTCTTGTGTGTGTGTGTGTGTGTGTGTGTGTGTGAGAGAGAGAGAGGGGGAATACCCAGGGCCTCATAATAACAGGCACGTGCTCTACTACTAAGCTCCACCCTTAGCTCAGTGTCCCTACTTTCAAAGAAGCCTTCTCTGACTCCTTAAAGCTAGACCTAAGCCCCACTTTTCACTCACACATAGCACTAAGATATTACACTATATAACACTATTGACCTTGAGGTCCCTCCCTAGGATGTAAATTCCCTCTGTGCTACAGTGGATCTGGATGGACCCAAGCCTGGCACTAAACAGGAAATGTTGAAGTGCAGAGTGGTTAACTAAGGTCTCCCAGGGCCTAGGACTCACCAAGGAGGATCTTCTGTTCTTTGCCTTCTGTCTGCTCAGTCAGGGGCTCCTCTCCTTCTTCCTCCTCCTCTCTGTCTCTCCCACCATCAGGAGCCACAACTGTCCCCATGGACAGAACTGTGTCAGACAGAGTGAGTTCAGACGTTCCTGTGACTTCATCCTGTTGCTCCTCCTCCTCTTCCACCAACACCACACAGCCTTCCTCCTCTTCTTCCTCCTCAGAGCCCTCACTTTGCTTCAAGTCCTGGCTGCTGTCACCTGACCTCAGGCTGTTCTTGTCCACAGGGGCACCCCCGTCATCCCCACCCCGTTCCTCGCCCTGGGAGGTTTCACTAGTACTGCTCTTGTCACTCATCTGGCCCAGGCTCACAGCCTCAGCCTCCTGCGGCTGTGGAGATTCAGCCACGTAGAGCCCAGCTTGGAAGTCCTCTGTGTCAGGGAGGTCTGCCTGATCATGGAAGCTGACACCTGACCTGTAGTCTGGAAGCCCCAGGCCTGAGGAAGCAGCAGGTTCCCCATCCATCTGAATCTTCTCCCCAAAGGCACAGGAACCAGTCCCAGACCCTGGGAGCTCACTTTCTTCATCCTCTGTGGCCCCAACCAGGCCTTTACTCTCCTCCTGGAAGGCCTCCACCCCAGCCAGCACCTGCAGGACGTGGGGCAGCAGGTGGATAAGGAAAGCCTGCAAGCCCAGTCGCACCATCAGCTGGGCCACAAAACAGTCAGTGTACAGGTAGAAGCGGCCATGCAGCCGGCAGGGGCTCTCATAGGCACCGATGAGAGGCTTCAAGAGGTACTTATTAGCATTTTTGGGGCCCAGAGCCTTGGCAACAGGTTCAAATAGGTACCAGGCAGTGTACACAGCTGTGTGCTCCTCAGACATGAGTGACAGCACGAAGGGCAGCAGAATCTCCAGGCCCTCAGGAGTGATGTCACTTAGCACTGCACCCAGCTGCTGCCACAGAGCAAACACCAGCTCCCGTCCCTGGGCCTCATCTTCCACACGCCTTGCCTGATACAAGAGAATGAACCTGTGAAGTGCTGGGAAATATGAAGGGAAGGGGACTACAGAGCTGAAGGGGCTGAGGAGCTGGGCTGGGCTAGGTGGGGGCAATCCCTGGGAGACAGGCCTGTACTCAAACAGTGAGTCCAACTTGCCCCTCTTCACTACCGTGGGGACTTCGGGTCCACTCAGCTGTAGTAGTGTGTCTAGCACAGGCTGCAAAGACACAGGGACCTCCTTGGAGTGACGTATACAGAGACCCCGAACAGCCTCAAAGCGTACCCACAAAGGTGCGCCAGACTGCAATGTCCGAACTCTGGTGGCAAACACCATCTCACCCAATAGGACACCCAGCACCTGCATGTCCCGATGGAAGAGGCTCTGCAACTGCACAGGTGGCTGGACCTGAGGCTGCTCAGGCACCTTCAACTGGCTCCCTAGGCCTTTGGCCAGGAAGTTGCCCATTTTCTCCAACTCCTCCAAGGCCTGCAAGGGACTGAAGCCCTCAGGAAGAACAATCTTCCCATCTTCACCCTCCCCTGGGTCTGGCCCAGCAGCTTTGCTCCGGCGCCCTGGTCGAGAGCCTGAGGTTGTAGAGAAAGAGAGGAGGCCAGGGGAGGCTTGACTGGAGAAGCCCAGCTGGTCACCTGCTTTCCCAGGGAGGGAGATGGAATCCAGAGCTTCTGTGGCCTGCTCTAAGTCATCTTCCCCTGTCAAGGGTCTGTCTCTGGTCCAGCCAGCCTCACACGGAGTGGACTCTACAATTAGCCTGTCCACCCCATTTATAAGTTGTCCTTGAAAGTCCTCCTGGCCTGTGGCCTCCTGAATGGTCTGGACCAGCAGCCGGGGGATGAGTGGAGGCTCAGGGGCAAGTGTAGGAGCTCCAGCCAGGCGCTGGGGATGGGGCTGATCAAAGAGTTGAACCACCCCGTAGCTGGTCAGGTGGGTGTGGGCATCCACCAGGTGCAGACACACATTTTTCTCCTTCACAGCCTCTTTGCCCTGGAGTTTGTAGCCAAAGGTGAGGTCAATCCAATGGTGCAGATCTTGTGACACCTCCCGGCTCTCCAGCAGAGCTCGATGGGCAGCCACAAACTCCTGGTTAGACCTGCACCAGGCTGGCACATCCAGGTCAGGCATGTCAGGGTGAATGGAGCAAAAAATGGAGGGATCTGTGTAGAATTCAGGGATGCACTCATCAGGTGTCCAGGTCTGCATCCTCTCCATGGTGGCAGGATACTCATGGGGCTCCCACTGTGCTCGGACATGTCCACAAAGTACCGAGCGGGGTGTGCGCCGAGCTTTGTACACGTAGTATGTGATGTCAGAGAGCACATCTGAGATGTGGTGAGGAACATGGGGTGGCTCCCCACTGCCTACACCACCTGCTACAAATGCCTGCCGTGTCATCTCATATGTGAAGTCCAGTTGCTTATCCCCCTTGTTGAGGCGGAATTTAGACTTGCGCAGGTCTCGGAAGCGCCCATGGGGCGTGGTAAAGTCCACCACCCAGGGCAGCACTGGGTGATAGTTGGGATCCCCCTGCCTCCGACCTGCCAATCGATTCAGCTGCATGAGGTAGTAGAAGTTGCTGATTCGGCCATGGACCCAGTCTAGCACAAGGCCCCTAAGTTCTTCCTGGCAGGTGGGACACCCAGATCTCCCTGCCTTTGCCTTCTCTTTTTCAGATTCACTGCCTCTCCCTTCTTTCTCTACCAGGGCCTCCTTGCTCTCATCTTCAGTGGGCATCTCATAAGCACTCAAGTCCAGCCGGAGTTCACTGCAAAGCTTCTCATCCACAGCAATGTGGTGCAAAGACAGGGCCCCACAGGCCAGCCCCTGGCGGTGACAGGCATCCATGGCCCTCAGCACACGGAAGAGAATGAAAAGCACCTTGGCTTGGCTGTTGGTCAGCTTGGCCGGGCTGAAGGTGACTACATCATGCAGGGAAAACTGCACATAAGGGTGTACCACATACAGCATCTCTGCTGACTCCAGCAGAGCCTCAGCTCGCAAAAGGCTGGGGCAGGCGGGGCTGCCTCGAGGATAGGGCCCATCTCTGACATAGGATGGGCACTGGGTGGCTTCACCCACTGGCAGGAAGGAGCAGCCATAGGCCCTCTGTAGAGCTTGTCTTACTGAGTCCAAGGCAGGGACAGCTGAGGGGGCAGGGCTATGACTATAAGGCTGCCCATAAATGTGGTATGCGTGGCGCCACAGGTTCCGGTAATTCTGGGCAGCCACCCCCTGCATGAACCGAGTGAGAGTCTCGGGGCTACAGGACCCCTCCTCAAAGGGCAAGGCCCCGCCCAGCGGATAGGACAGTCTCCGTTTCCGCAGCCCGTGCACCTCCACTCGCGTCCAGCCCGGGGGCAGCCTCTGTACCGAGCGCTGCAGGAGAGTCCTGACTTCCGCTTCACCCAGGCCCTCGGCCCGGGGACAGGGGCCCAGCCGGCGCTCGCGGAGGCTGGCCAGCCAGCGCACAGGTACTAGGGCCACCACATGGGTGCCCCCCGGGACCGAGGCTAGCTGCCGGGCATCGATGTTCAGGTCTCTCTCCACGCTCCTGAGCAGCTCCTCCATGTCCGGGCTTGGGGGTGGGGACCAGCCCTCTGCCCCGGGGCGAGGAGCCACTTCCCGCCCTCTGCTCCCCTGAGCCATCTGGTCCTGACCGCCGGAGGGCAGCGCGAGGCTGAGCCGGGCCACGGCCCTCCTCGCTGTGCCTTTCGGGGTGCCAGGCCGGGCGGGTTGAAATGGGCAAGGGGCAGGAGCTGGGGGTGCAGATGGATAGGGGAACCCGCCGCAAAGGAAGGCCTGGGGGTGCTCTTACCCCTCCGCAGGGTCCCGCGCTCCTGAGCGCAGCTGGGCGGGGAGCACCGGGCACCAGTGCTGAGCGCCACCGTGACGGGTCAGCTGATGTGGATCACGTGATCGCCCAGACACGGAAACAACCGCACGTGGCTCGAAAGAGCCCTGAGAGACCCCGCCTCCTGGCCGGCCTCCGTGCCCTCCCTCCTGGGGCCCTGGTCCCAGCCTCGCTGGTTCTTGGGGATCTAGCGGCGCTCCAGCACAGAGGAAAACCCATCCTGAACAGGCCTTTCGACCTCCCTCCCTGATTTCTCCTACTTCCGCCGAGTAGGATCTAGTGAGGCTTTTCTCAGAAATGCCAGCCATCAAGCCAAGTGTCTGCAGTGCCAGCGGCTGATACTAGGCCTTTGGGCATCAGCCCTCTCAGGGCCTCCATGGTGGCTTGCAAACCAAGGAGTTTTTTAATTTTCCAAAGCACTTCAACAGTCACTTACCACTTGGCCCTCACAAGTTCTGTAAAGTAGGGAAGTGGCCATGGCCCAGGTCCAGAGACCTGAAAGTCTTAAGAGGAAATGTTCTCCCAAGACTTCTGTTGAAAAGGTGGGTGCCACAGAGCCAGCTAGTGTGGCCACAGCCTTGCAGATGCCACAGTAGCTGGAGGCAGAGTGCAGCCCAGGACAGGGAACGGAAACCAGAGAGCTGGTACTAAAACTGCAGGAGGCTTTGGTTCTGGCTCATGGACAGGACAGCAATGAAAGCACTGTGTGTGTGTGTGTGTGTGTGTGTGTGTGTGTGTGAATGTGTGTGTGGTTTTAGAATCTTGTAGGAGCTTGGTGCAGAGGTTTAGGCCTTTAAAAGCACATAAGGAAAAAAAAGAGGTGAGGCACAGGATCAGTGCAATCTCCAGGCCAACCCAGCCAGGGCTGCATATAAGAGCAGACTCAAAGAAGGGAAAAAAGTGGACCTGGAGAGATGGCTCAGCAGTTAAGAGCACTGACTGCTCTTGGAGAGGACCTGGGTTTAGCTTCCAGCACTCACATGGTGGCTAACAATCATCAGTAACTCCAGTTCCAGGGGCTACAATGCCCTCTTCTGACCTCTGAGGGCACTACACAACATGAGTGCACCTACCTACATGCAGGCAATACACTCATACACATAAAATAGAAATTAAAAATAAATAACAGTAATAAAATATAGAAAAAAAAGAAGGGGAAAAGGAAGGAAGGCTAGAGAAAAGGCATCAATGGCTCAGATAGATATGACAGATTCCATCTGTCTTTTCCTGAAGGGCAGCTGGAACCCCTGCTGTGCTTTATCACATGATCTTGGAGAGTAGTAAATTACAAACCCCATTTGTGAAGTATTTATCAGGAGCCGACCACCTGCCAAGAACTTGTTTATCTTGCATATCTTGTTTCATTTAATTTCACCACTACCTCCTTCCCTCTCTCTCCGTCTTGTTCCCTTTTTTCTCCTTTCTTTCTTTCACTCTGTGATTTGGGTGTTTTTGTTTTTATTGTGTGTGAGAGTGTATGTGTGTGTATGATCACATGTGCTCTACATCGTGCATGTGGAGGTCAGAGGACAACCTTCGAGAGTCTGTTCTTTTCTTTCTCCCTGGGATCAGGCTATTGACCTCAGGTCATCAGGCTTGTGCAACAAACAGTTTTACCCTCTAAACCATTTGCCAGCCCAGGTTTTGAGGTTTTTAAATTATTTATTTATTTATTTATTTAGTCTTTTTGAGACAGGGTCTCCCTGTAGCCCCAGCTGTCCTGGATTCACCATGGAGACCAGGCTGGCCTCGAACTCACAGAGATCCGCCTGCCTCTGCCTCCCAAGTGCTGGGATTAAAGGTGTGTGCCACCATGCCCAGCAAATTTTATTTATTTTTATTTTATATGTTTGAGTGTTTTGCCTGTCTGTATGTTAGTGCACCATGTTTGTGCAGTGCTGGTGGAGGTCAGAAGAGGGTATTGGATCCCCTGGAACTGGAGTTACAGACAGTTGTTAGCCACCAGGTAGGTGTGGAGAACTGAACCCCCACGGTCCTCTGTAAGAGCAGTCAGTGCTTTTATCTACTGAGCCATCTCTTCAGCCCCCAGTTTTGGGATATTTTTAAGATAAGAATACAGGCATGTGCCATCACACTCAGCTTGCCACCACTGTTTTAAGAAGGAATTTTGGGGGCTGGAGAAATGGCTCAGCAGTTAAGAACACTGGCTGCTCTTGCAGAGGACCCAGATACCACTCCCAGCACCAACATGGCAACCAACAACCATCCATAACTCCAGGGGGAATCCAGTGCCCAACACTGACCTCCTAGGGCATTGTACAGCATGGGTGCACTTACATACAACCAGGCAATACACTCATACCATAAAATAAAAATAATAAATTAATTTTTAAAAAAGAAGGTATTTTTAAGTCAGGCTCAAGCCTGTAATCCCAGTACTTCAGGAAGCAGAAGCAAGCTCAAGATCAGCCCAAGCTGGGCTACATAGCCATATCATGTCTCAAAACATCAAAACAAAATAAGAAGCTACTTTCATGCCCATTTTAGGAAGAGGAAGCTAACTGACCACCTTTAGTAAACCTGTTCAAGGTCATGTAAAAAACTGAAAAAGTTGAGCCAGAAGCCAGGTGTGGTGGTGCAGGCCTTTAATCCCAGCACGCTGGAGGCAGAGGCAGGCAGATCTCTGTGAGTTCAAGTCCAGCCTGGTCTACATAGTGAGTTCCAGGCCAGCTGGGGCTGCAGAGAGACCCTGTCTCAAAAAGACACACACCAAAAAAATTGAGCCAGAACTCAAACCCAGGCCTAGCTCATTCTAAAACTTGTGCCTCAAATAGAGCATAGTGGTACATGCCTGTAATCCCAGCACTGGGTGGTATAGACAGGAGGATCAGAAATTCAAGGTCATCCTTGGCTACATAGTAAGTTTGAGACCCACTTGGGCTTCATGACACTCTATCTCAAAAATAGATTCATTATCTTTTCTGCTTCCTGACTACAGATGCAGTGTGAAGTTGCTCTAAGTTCCTGTTGCCAGGACTTCCTGATTGAATGTATTCTTGAAATGCCTCATGTACCCCAGCTTGGCCTTGAGCTGCTATGTAGCTGAGGATGATTTTGAACTTTAGATTCTCCTGCCTTCATCTCCCAAGTTCTGGGATTACAGTTATACACAGATTAAACATCATGATATGTCCGACTTCATCAGTGACAGTAATAAAAATGTGAGCCACAACAGTAAGACACTGGTGTCCGCACCAATTCTACTCTCAGCTTCCTGGGAAGAGTCCATTCACCCAGCTGTACAAACCAGGTATACTCACAGGTTCTCTGAGCAGAAGTATATCCAGAGATGAAATTTCATCCATAATTTAAAAAAAAATTAAGAAAAAGGAGTATTTAATCAGCTTTCCTTGACAAAACAGCCTACAACTTTAGATTCTGAATATCTCAGGCTATGGACAAATGATAATAAATCTCAGTGTGAGAGTGCCCTGAGTTGAATCATCAGGTTAGTTGGTGTTTGCTGGACAAATAGCTGAAGAGGAATAGTATGACCTAGAGTGTAGATTTCCAACACACAGACTAAGACATAACTGTTGGTCCATCTTGCTTGTATGGACCCCTCCTCACTCATGAGAGCCTTGAAGCAACTCCATAGACCTCTAGGAGAGAGAAGTTAGAAAGCAATTTTCAAATTCAAGCTGCAGGACTAGTCCCAGAACCCTCACTGATTTACTGATTAAGTCTCTTCAGGTCATTTCTGAGCATAATTTTCTGTAACTCTAAAGTGACATTAATAGAAATAAGTTCTATTTTACCTCAATAAAAATAAATACATAAAGGTGGCTCACACCTTTAATCCCATCACTTTGGAGGCAGAGGCAGGCAGATCTCTGTGAGTTCAAGGCCAGCCTGGTCTACATAGTGAGTTCCAGGCCAGCTGAGGCTACAGGAAGACTCTGTCTCAAAAAGACAAAAAAATAAAATAAGTAAGTAAATAAATAAATAGGGGCTGGAGAGATGGATCAGAGGTTAAGAACACCAGCTGTTTTTGCAAAAGACCTGGGTTTGAATCCCAGTACCCACATGGCACCTAACAACTGTCCGTAACTCCAGTTCCAGGGGATCCAACAGCCTCTTCTGTCCTCCATGAGCATTGCACGACATGGGTGCACTTACCTACATGCAGGCAATACACACATACACATAAAAATAATAAATAGGCCGCTCTCCTACCCGCAGGCCTCTCTCCAGGACCAAGAGCTCTGCAGTGGAGTCCCCAGGAGTCCTTGGGGCCTTTTCCCACCACATCTGGCTTTGCATCTCTCGGTGGCACGGCCACCAGCTGCCCTAGACCAGCATCTTCCCCGGGCCAGGCTCCTTTATAGTATGAAGCTGGGCATGGTGGTGCACACCTTTAATCCCAGGCAGAGGCAGGTGGATCTCTGTGGTCTACATAGTGAGTTCTAGGACAGCTGGGGCTACAAGGAGACCCTGTCAAAAAGACAAAAAAAAAAAAATTGGGTTGTCTCTTAGGTTCAACCCCTAGTACCAAAGGTGGGGGAAGGTTAAAGAAAAAAACAAATGAACAAATAAAAACTCTCTGTCCTTTGGTTTCAGCTCTCATATCAAAGTCGGAGGGTGAAGAACGTCACAGGCCAGCTTGTTTTCCCAGTTGAAAAAAGTGATAGAGCACAACCAAGTACAGAAACACTGGTTTGTTTATTTTGAAACAGGGTCTTACTGAATGGCCTGGTAGTCACTATGTAGCCCAGGCTGGCCTTGAACTCACAGAGATTCCAGTGCCTCTGCCTCCTGAGTGGTAGAATTAAAGATATGTGCCACCATGCCTAGCTTGAGGACCCAATTTTTAAAAAGAATTTATTTTTATTTTATTTATATTATTTATTTATTTTTTGGGGGGGGAGGTCTTTTTTGAGACAGGGTCTCCCTCTAGCCCCAGAGGGCCTGGAACTTCCTTTGTAAACCAGGGTGGCTTTGAACACACAGAGATCCGCCTGCCTCTGCCTCCCAAGTGCTGGGACTACAGGCGTGCACCACCACGCCTGGCTCCCTATTTTTATATTTTTAATTATATGTATATGTGTGTGGATATATGCATGCAGGTGCCTGCAGAATCCAGGAGTTGGCTTCCCTGGAACTGGAGTTGTGAGCCAAACACATTCTTTTTTTTTTTTCCAATTTATTTTAAAAAATTATGTGTATGTAGGTATGGGCATATGCCCACATGACTGGATCTCCCAGTAGCTGGAGTTACAGGCCGTTGTAAGCTGCCCAATATGGTTGCTGGGAGTTGAATTCAGGTCCTCTGGAAGAGCAGTATGTGCTTTTAACTGCCGAGAAGTCTCTCCAGCCCAGCAGTACACACTCTTAACTGCTAAGACATCTCTCCAGCCTGAGAGGAGACCCATTTTGATGAACAGGACATAATGCCTCCTTTGTACCAATAAAATTGGGTCCACCTGGTCTTTGCTCTGGTCTCAGTTTATCTAGATTAGCAAAAACTATTTTCTTTCTATAAGTCTATGTGTGCCCTGCCCCCTAGTGGTGTTGCTTTATACTACAGTAGTGACCTTGAATGTACCCTACATTTATCTCTTGTTCTCCCTCTGCCTATAATTGAAATGTCCTTGCAAGGCTAGGGAATGTCCTTGCACTGAGATTTCAAGGACACCACACCTTTCTTCATCTGAACCCTAGAAAACTTTGTTTTTGTGATCCTGAGTATTGAACACAGGGCCTTGTGCATGCTCACTGTGCAAAAACTCTACTCCCCAGGAGGGGTTTTCCAGCTTTAGGATGTCCTTTTGATTTACTACTCTGGACAGAATGAGATCTACTCTGAACAGAATGAGACCCAGGAACTTGAAATTACCCTAGGTAATTCTGATGCACAAACCTTCAAGGCACATCTTGAAAATTAGGGCTTGCCGGGTGTGATGGCACATGTCTTTAGTACCAACACTCAGAAGGCAGAGGTAGGCAGATCTCTGTGAGTTCAAGGCCAGCTGGGTCTACATAATGAGTTCCAGGACACCTGGGGCTACAGAAAGACCCTGTCTTAAAAAGACAAAAAAAAAAAAAAAAAAAAAAAAAAGAAAAAAAGAAAAAGAAAAGAAAGAAAATTAGGGCTTTGGGGTACAGGGAGGAGTATAGCTCAATAGTGGTGTGTTTCACATGCATGAGGCCTTAGGGTCAATCTCCAACTATCACTACTACTACTAATAATGCTCTGTGACAGTGCTCCCAATTTTCCTCTCCCTCACCCTAGATGTGGTCTCCTAAATCCCCACTCAGGAACCTTGGGCATGGGGAATAGGGGGTCAAATTAGTCACTCCCCTTTGCCTACCTCCAAATTGTGTTTCCAGAGGCTTATATTTAGGATAGTCACTGAGGGACGCTGCAGCTGCCTGGGGGCAGTCAGCTCCTGCCAAGTGAGGTCAGCAAGAAGGAAGTGTAACGTTGAGTACACCAGCTGTGGGTTTGGTGGACTTGTACTGTACTAAGTAGTTTCAAACTTTGAAAAAATTCCTATAAGAAATCATGCATTTATTATTCATACTTTTTTTTTTTGAGACAGGGTCCCCCTGTAGCCACAGCTGGCCTGGATTCACTGTGGAGACCAGGCTGGCCTCGAATATTCACACTGTTTTGTAGATGAAGAAAATATCTTTCATAAATTCACTGCTAGTGAGAAGTAGAATTCTATTCTAAGTTTGCCTCAATGATTCTCAACTAAGGTAAAGTTGTACTCCCCAGAGAAATTTGGGGACACTTTTGGTAGTTATAATTGGGATCATATGCTACTGGCATCTAGGGTGGAGGCCAGGAGAGTACTAAAATTCCTACTATGCACAGGGCAGTCCTTCACATAAGAAATTATCTGGCCCAAAATGTTAGTAGTGCTGAAGTTGAGAAATCCCAAGACTTAAACATGTGCTTTTGACCTGAAGGGGGTGGAATCAGGTTAGGAAGTGAAACAGTGGAGAAGGACCATCCCAAGATTCTTGAGTGAGAAGGCTGTGGGATTTCTACGGGAAGGATAATGGAAAACGGGGCAGCTGGTTGAGACTCCTCTTTCTTCCAAGCTTGGCCAGAGCCCTGTTCAGTTTCCCCTAACCCTGCCAAGTCAGCCCTGGGACTTCACACTAAGTCTGTCCTGGAGTGACCCTGACTCCCAACTCAGGGCTGGGGCAATATATTTACCTGGTCTTCCTACAGAAGATGACCCCGGCTTCTAGGGCCAGTGCGTTCTACCTGCAGTCCCTGGGCTAACAAAATACTAGCATGCTTGGGTTAGGAATAAGGAGGTGCTAAAGGAAAAGATACCTGGCACCTGAAAGATTAAATGGTCAAAGCCAGGAGGATCCCTTTAGCAGGCCCATCTGGGAAGGAATAGAGGGCAGCTGTCCTAGGACATGGTTCAAAACCACAGGCTAGCTCTCCAAAGCCTTGCCTTTCCCCTAGGCTTAGGCTCAGTTTCCCTGTATCATGCCCAGTTGCATCCTGGAACACGCACACCCAGCTGGCCACCATAATAGGCCTCCCCAATAATGACTTCCCCACTAGACAGGAAATAACTCTGGTTCCAATCTCCTTGGAACCTCTGAAGAACTAAGGAGCAGGTGTGTGTGTGTGACAATCTTGGAAGTGATGGAGAAGAGGAAAGATCATGAAAGACCATCGATTCTGTCCCCCATACTTGGGGTTCCATTTCCTTTCCTCACCACCCATAGGGGGCGGAGTAAAGGGGATGGAGGACAGGCAAGGTGGAGGATGTGGTAAAGGCTGATTTGTCCCTTGAGGTCACACTTTCCAACAGTCAGCTGTTATTGGGGCGAAGGCAGGAAGTCTCCTTAAAGGCACAATATTCTGAACACAGAACTCTGGAGTTCAAAGGAACCCTACCAATCACCTAGTGGAGCCTATATGTAACACGGAAGGAACTATATGATGCTCCAGGCTCATTTCTCGGACTCAGTTGCCCTCACCCTATTTGGCGCTTATGGAAAAATCATGAATCCCAGATCACACGTTCCTCTTTGGGGGTAGGGAGGGTATGACGAGGTGGTCGCAGACGTGTCCCTTTAAATAAGCGATTCAGCAGCTTTTGCCAAGTCATTGGGTTCATTTCAGTTTTTGCCCATCCCCCGCCCTCTAGACTCTGATTGGCCCCTGGGGAAGGAGCAGCCTCTTTATTGGTCTCCACCTTTGAAATCCCTTTCCTAAGTAGGCCTGAGTCAGTGAAGCGCTTTGGAGGGCGGGACAGAGTGGGGGTTAATCCTAGGATGAGATTTCTGGCCAGTTTTACTTTGGCACGGTCCACCCCCTACTTTCTGAGAAGGTTTCTCTATAAAGTGAAGACCTTGCTATGAATCTTTTGTTAGGAAGCTGTCCGTTGAGAGGCCGTGGGCTCTTCGGGACAAGACGTTTACTACAAAAGACTTCTCTAATTAGACAGCCCCCGGCCGGGGTGGACAAAACCTCGCCGCTGGGCGGGCGAGCAGTCCCCCTGACCCTCCAAGCCCTAGGAGTCCAACTCAACAACTCAACAGTGCTGCACCGGGGGCTGATTTCTGTCCGCATTTCTGCCCACTCCTGTTGCTTCGCCCGCTCCACCTTCCCTTACAAAGCTATAGGCCCCTTCAGGAGGCTGGCGAATCAGTTTTGAGGCTGTCTAAAAGTAGTCACAGCTCCAAAAAGGAGGCGCTGTAGCCCTTTAAGGACTTCCCCGCGATGGATTCAGCGATCTTTTTAAAAATGCCAACTCACAGAGCGCGCTGCATCCTGGGAAGGAGGGTGTCATTTCAAGAACTTCATTGACCAGTATGCACTGCAAAAACACGCCTTTACTTCCTTCTGCTCTTTAATCTGTCGTTTGACGTAGAGCTGGTCTAGGCAAGTCTCCTAGGCCCAGGGCTAGCCACACCTTTTCGCTCATTGGCCAGCTGGCGAGGTGGTGAGCGTGGCTTAGCACAACTCCGCCAGGCAAGGGGGTGGCTTGCTTGCCAATCAGAGCCCAGGCGCCCGGAGAGGCGGGAGCAGGGAAGAGGTGCGGGCACCTCCGAGTGGGTGTGGTCACGTTCCCCAGCAGTGGGCGGTGATTGGCCCTGGGCTGTGCAATCGCAGCTTGTGCGTCACGACGCCGCCAGCTGATCGGAGACTGAAGCCGGTGTGTGCTGGGCGCTGTGAAGAGACAGCCGCCGGCCGTGGGGAGAGGACGCAGTGGTTTGCTCCCCTACCTTCAGCAACCCCCACACCCAGCATAAGGTGGGTGTGATCTGGAGACCGGGTCATACCGGGGGGAATCGCGGTAACGGGGTGATAGGGAAAAGTAGGGTCCTAGTGGCCACACCCTGCCCTTCTGGGGGGGGAGTGGGGGCGGCGGGGGCAGGGGCGCTCCTGAG